AATATATCATTGTATCCTTTTTGGGTTCATTAGTATTCTTAGTATCTTGTTTTATCATAATGTCCAAGTTGCTTTGAGCATCTTTTTTTTCTTTGGTAGCTTCTTCTTCACTTTGGGGCATTCATTTTTTAAGTGTCCTCGGCTTCTTGCATTCATAACATATTATTGTGTCCTTTTTGGGTTTATTTTTATTCTTAGTATTTTATTTTGTTTTATTTCATTTTATTTTTTAAAAATTTTCTTATAATGAGTGCCAAGTCAAAGTCATTATCATCATCATCACTTGAGTTTTCTCTCAAGTGGTCTTATTTGGTTCTAAATGTTATAACCTTCATGTTCTTTGGAAGGTTGTTCTCATGTTCATCATGTGCCATAAATGTCATTTCATAGGTCATTAAAGATCCAATAAGTTCTTCAAGCAGAAAGTTGTTCAAGTTCTTTGCTTATTGTATTGTCGTTACTTTAAGATCACAACTTTTTGGAATGGATCTTAATATTTTGCTAACAAGTTCAAAATTAGAAAAACTTTTACCAAGTGCTTTCAAATTATCATCATCATCACTTGAGTTTTCTCTCAAATGGTCTTCTTTAGTTCTAAGTGTCATAACCTTCTTATTCTTTGGAAGATTGTTCTCCTGTTCATCATATGTCACAAATGTCATTTCATAGGTCATTAAAGACTCGATAAGTTCTTCAAGTGGAAAGTTATTCAAGTCATTTACTTCTTGTATTGTCATTACTTTATGATCACAACATTTTGGAATGGATCTTAGTATTTTGTTAACAAGTTCAAAATTAGAAAAACTTTTACTAAGTGCTTTCAAACTATTGATGACATTCATAAAACGAGTGTACATGTCTCCAATGGTCTCGCTTGATTTTATTCAAAACAACTCATTGCTATATACTAAAAGATTAATTTTTGATTTATTAACCCTACTTGTCCCTTCGTGTGTGACTTTGAGTGTGTGCCAAATATCATGCACAGTTTTACATATAAAAACCTGATTAAATTCATTTTTATCAAGAGCATAAAATAAAGCGCTCATCGTTTTAGCATTTAATGAGAAAAGTCTTCTTCTCCAAATCATTCCATTCGTTCATTAGAAGACTTTTTAAAAATCACTTTTAATAATATTACATAAATTGAAATCCATAGAGAGTAAGAAAATTCTCATTTGAGTTTTTAAATATATGTAGTCTATCCCATTAAACATAGGAGGACGAGTGATAGAAAGACTCTCTTGATTGTCAATAAAAGTCATTTCTCTTAGGTGTTAAACTAAACGAGAAAAACTTTAAAATCTCATTCGATAAAAACCAATTACGAGTGTTCTTGACTTAAAGTAGGTACAAGGTAGAGTGAGTAATAAAATAAGTAAATAATAAAGATAAATAACAAAGATTAGAACATATCAGATTTATAATGGTTCGATTGTCGTGACCTATGTCCACTCCCATTTTCTCCTCTGTTGAGGTCATTGGCATTCACTAACGATTTTCCTTCAACAAGCATTCACCAACTTGCTAGTCAAATGTGCCTTGCAAGCCAATCACATGAGTGAAGACACATGTGATATGATACACATTCTTTTTTCTTATTATATTTTGATATTTTATTACTCTATATTACTTGTTATATATATGTATATATATTGTAATATCGATAGATCTGTGAAATGAGAATCAGATCATGATGAGATCACGATAATAAGACTGATTTACCTTTAAACACAAACCTTAAATAATCCTAGTCATAGATTACTCGAGAGAAACATCGAGATAACTGGATATACTAGTATATTTTATACTCGTCCATATGATGGAGGTAGTTAGTCTCATATCTACTCGTGTGGGGATACTATGGCTACAATACAGGTGCTCACCTAATTGATTCGCTCACAAAATATTGGATGGTCAATAATACCTCATTATTAGACATTAATGATGCCATGTATGAGTATTTCATTCTTTGATACCAAACTTATAGGCCTAGAAGTTCTAGATCTAACACAACCAATCATCGGGAGTGGTAGCCAAGTTTATAAGGATTATTGAGTGTCAATAAATGATTATCCACTCTAGGTATCATGAGAGGAATATATCATGTATTCTTGCTCAGACAAATCTCTAGCCAGGGTCATCCGGATTGAGAGAGAAAGAGTTCTCCAAGAGAATCCAATTAGAGTAAGACTCGAGTAGAAATTGTATAGGTCTGACAGTTCCATGTTCGGTATATGATCTTTGGGATATTGATGGATGAGGGACTATAGATACACAGTAACTAAGGACAAATAAGTCCAATTGATTGGATTTTCCTATATCGTTTGGGGACTACGGCGTAGTGGCCTAGTACGTCTGCAGTCGATGAGTCGAGTGAATTATTATAGAGATAATAATTCACTGAGCCAGAATGAGTTCTGACAGGTATGACTCATGGCTAGCTCGATATTGGGCTTAGAGGATCATACACATATGGTAGACATTACGACGAGTAGAGGTTCAGATATAAGATATCCATTAGAGCCCCTATCTTATTCGATATTCAATAAGCCCCTGAATTATTGAATCCTATGGATGAGATCCAATGAGAGCTAATGAGAGATTATTGGACAGAGATCCACTAATATAAGAGGCTTGGGTAGTTGGATAGAAATCTAGTACATAATAAGGAAGATCTATTAAGGTTAAGTTGACAAGGGACCTTTATAAATAGGAAGGAATCAAAGGCTCATAGGCTAGAGGTTTCTTGATTGCACCTCCTATTTTCCTCTCTCCTTCTCCTCCTTAGATAGTAGGTGTGGAGATTTGGGTAGTGATTTGAGGAGTATCGTCATAGCCCTACTCTATAGATCATCGCTAGAGAGGAGGACGCTTGACCTCCTTCATCATCTCCTACAGATCTATAAGGATTCTAGGATATATGATATCCCTAGGTAACAAAATTATCTCATGCGTGGTTTTTAGTTTCACGGATTTTGAGTACCAATCTTTGCATGATGATGAATACTTTTTTGAAAAATTTGGGGTTTTTGTTTTCTGTTCTTTTACTACGCATGTGATGTTGCTCCTAGATTTCCCTACACAACTATCCTCTTACAATTCTTTCTCCTTTTCATAGGTTTAGGAGATAACCTTTACAAGCCTCACATTTCTCTTAGAATGATCATAAATCTTAAGGAGGAGGAGGAGGACACTTAGTATTTTTTTAAGACTTTTATAATTAAAAATGTTAAGACTTTTGTTCACTTTTCGTGTTTTTTTATGCATAAAAAGTGAGATATTTATAGGCCCCAATGATTTCAAAAATGGAGCCAAAAAATATCTTATCCCAGGTTTTCGATGTACTAGTGGTACCACCGACAATACTAAGTGGTACCATCGATAATACTGGGTAATACCAGATCTGTAGGGATTCAGAAATATATGATCTCCCTAGGTAACGAAATTATCTCGCGTATGGTTTTTAGTTTCGCGGATTTTAAGCATTAATCTTTACATGACGATGAACACCTTTTTGAAAAATTTGGAGTTTTTGTTTTCTGTTTTTTTGCTACACATGTGATGTCGCTCATAGATTTCCCTACATAACTACCCTCTTATAATTCTTTCTTCTTTTCACAAGTTTAGAAGATAACCTTTACAAGCCTCACACTTCTCTTAGAATGATCACAAATCTTAAGGAGGAGGAGGAAGACATTTAGCATTTTTTTCAAGACTTTTACAATTAAAAATGTTAAGACTTTTTGTTCACATTTCATATTTTTTTCATGCATAAAAAGTGAGATATTTATATGTCCACTTCAAACATGGAGCAAAAAAGTATCTCATCCTAGGTTTCTGAGGTATTAGTAATTCCACTAACAATACTGGGTGGTACCATCTCTTGCACCTTTGACAACTAGTGGTACTACCGCTAGTTTGAGCGGTATAACCATATGACAAAGCCTTGGAGACTGGGCTCTAGTGGTACCATCGCCTGACAACATTAACTATAGGCAGTACCATCGCTTAGACAATGCTTGGGAGGCTGAGTCTTAGGTGGTGCCACCACTTAGGCCAACTAAGGGTCATTGAATGAGCCTTCCTTTTAGCCCAAAATAGCTCAAACTCAAGCTCAATTGGCCCCTAATTGAGTTAGTAGAATATACCCAAACGTAACTCAAATTGAGACCTAAGATAAGGACTTAGTAAATCTAAGTTGTTTGGCTTATCATTTGTTTATCCGAACTCCCGACGAATTTTCAGCAAACTTCCGACGCATCGTTCGATCCATCGACAAGTTGACTCCTGCAATTTTCGATCTTGGCACAACATCCGATTCTTTTGGCTTAATACCCGTTTTCTGACTCCGGCCTAACGTCTGATTCTTTTTACTTCAATTGTTTTGCTTTTTCTGATCGAAATTAATTCTGCATCACTTTTTTCTCAAATAACACATTAGATCATAAATTCATTAATTAATTTCATAATCAAAATTTGGGATTCAACATCTTTAAAAGTATTTATTCTTTAATATATTCGACTCTTAAAAATTTAACTTCAATGAATACTATTTAATCAAAAATTAATTTAAGCTTCATAAGAATTTTATAGAATAATAGATGTGCAATTTTTGTAAGGTTTGAGGCACTAAGACAAACTGTGAAGTAAGATATGACTTCGGCTCCGAATCAATATCTCGAATAATTCCTCTCCCTATTAATAAATGTAGAGTAAAGTTCGTGATGCACCAATTTGCACATTGGATTGCATGGATTACATGCTCCAACTCCCCTAATCATTGCCAACCACCAAATATGACTGTGTCTTCATCCACATAGCTTTCAGCTAACAATTAATTAATTTATAAGGAGGTGGATGCCATCAATTGGTGTTCATTTCAACATCAGCTTGGAATGGAAAACTAGCTGAAGGATTGCCAACATCCATTGGCGTTCATTTCAACATCGGCTTGCTAAATGGACTTCGCATGTGTGTTTTAGCTCATCGCCCCATGAGATCTACCGAGTGCACCAAATAGATCATATCGCATGCATTATTGGAGAACCTTGCAGGCCCCGCTCCCCCGCTCATTTCGGCGATTGATGAGTTGCTCAGACCTCACAGCACATTACAATAGCATTAGGTAGGCCTAACTCCATGCCGATTCCATTGTCAACCCCTCACCTTCCTATAAGATCACACCGTTGTGGATGAAGCTATGAAAGAGAAAAAGATGGACGAGTTCAGCTTCCCCACCGTCGTGACGGAACACGAGCTCATCCCCGACCTCCCGTTCCCCAGCCTTGCCGCCACCTCCCTCTGGTTCCACTCCCCCGAGGCAGACAGCAGCCAGCTCCGTCGAAGCTTCTCCGAGGGCGGCGCCCACATCGCCACCACATGCCGAAGAGCCCTCCGGCCGAGCTCCCCCGCGGTGCTCAGCGACTACGGCTGCAGCGGCGAAGAGGAGAGGATGGACATGCTCTGGGAGGACTTCAACGAGGAGTTCTATCGCGCCGGGGACCCGCGGGGCGCGGCGGGGAGGAGATCGATGGGCATGGACGTACTGGCCGCTGAAGGAGGCTTGCTGTCCAAGAAGGAGCTGCGGCTGGAGGTGTCGAAGAGCCGCCCCCTGCGCCGGAAACCTGCCTTTGTGGTGATGCTAAGGATGCTGAAGAAGATGTTCATCGCGCAGAAGACTCACTCTGATGGCAGAAAGCCGAAGCAACAAAAGTAGGAGAGTTGAGTTCCTTCGATGCAGCAGCTGATTTATTTGCAAGACGACGCTACAAACAACGTTAAGAGGGATGGAGGTCGATTTCAAGTTTCAGTAGAAAAAAAGCCTATATATATATATATATATATATATATATAACAAATTTTAATTAATACGATACTTCAAAGCATTGGATGATATTTTTGAAGCATTTGCTACCAAATGCTTTCTTTTTGAATGATAAATTATTTTTAATTAATTATTTTCCAACAAAATATATAGTAACGGCAAGGAAGGGTTTCAAACACTTCGAATGCGTTACGGGAGTGGGGTTCGGGGATCGACGCCATCTCGCCACACCCCTTTTCGCCGCTGCCTCTTCTGGGCCAATTCGCTCCAACCCTACCCCCTCGAGGTCATCTCCGACGATTTCCACTCCCTCACCTTCGTTCGCCCTCGAAGAGCTGGTAAGAGCCCTTCCCTCACTCGCTCTCTAAATCAAAAGCCTCACTGGGCCTATGATCGATAATTCCGTTTCTAATCTTATTACATTCACTCGATTCCTGTCGTTCTTTCTCAAGCTATGTTGCACGCACCCGTGTGGCTCTGTTCTGATCTCAAATACAACTACATGATTAACTAGCAATGATCTACCTTTTAAGACATATGTAGAAGATTCTTTTAGTTTCTTCTTTTCATGGATACTGCGGCTCTGTTGCTCTTTTATTCGCTGGAGTGTTTATTGATCTTGACATACAAAGAAAGGGTTATGTAGCTAGTATATGCTATGAGTGCATATATCAATATATGTTTAGCTCGCCCTTGATTGTTTTCACGACATGCGCTGCATGTTTTCCTAATAACATATACAAAGTTGTAAGCTACGTAAGGTAAAGATCGCAGAATTCTGCTTTCTTGAGTTTCTGTCTCACAAAAAACCTTAATTTCATGCTAACTAATTTTTGAGTTAGAAGATTTTTGTGCAATTCTTTCAGTGATTCATCACGTCATTTTGTTCTTATGAAAGATTTTCCAGTAATCTTCATTCAACGAATGAGTAAAACCTCATATCTGTATATTTATATTAGGGAGATTACATTGAATTTGGTGGCTCATGGTCTGAATTTGTTGATTACCTCGGATCATCTGTGTCTTCCAGTCAACAAAATGTAGGCTTTGGTGAGACTTTATATTCTTTCCTAGACATCCTTATGCATGTTCCACATCAAGCTGTGTTGCTTTACTACAAAAATTCCATTGCAAATCTCAATAAGTTTGCTATCTAACTGCTAAGTATAATTTTCATGCAGCATGTTGAGGAAATTTTGATGGCCTCTGTAAAAGTTAAATATAGGTCAACTGTAATTAGCATATTGCCTCGTTCAAGTAGATTTAGGCATATATTTTTTCTCCATAAATTAGTTCTCTCATTCTGTGGTATGAGAATTCGAACCTTCAACTTAGAGGGAATAAAGTACACCACCAATAAACTAATTGGTTAGGTTGTAACAATGTACCCCTTGACGTATGTGAGTTTGGTAGAAGATTGAGTTTATTAGTAGATCCTTTTTCAAATCACATCTTTGTCAAGCCTAGTATTAGTAGATAATACACTTGAGGAGCGAGAGACGATAAGAGAGTAATGGCTCCCATACTGATGATTAAGTTAGTTTGTAAGGCATAGATGATTAAGTTCTCGGTACTAATTAGATCGACAGATGCCAAATTCTTATCCATAAGATCGTGTCTACAGCTTCGTTCACTAGTTAAGCTGTGTGGCCATCTTTTAGATGGTTCGAATATGCTTATAACTCATCGACAATTAGTGTTGTTGAAAGGAGACTTAAGTGAAGTTAAACCAAGTAGTTAATGGATAAAATTCGTATTAAACCAAATTCTCGATGGATCAAATTAAACACTGATGGTGAAGGGTGGATTGTCAGGATGTAGATCAGTCGAGGGGAGCAGCTTTAAGAATAAACTCGTGGTTATCTAGGGAAGAATTAGACATGCTGCAACAATGGGCATCGAACATCTTATATTTGAAGTAAGCAATAAGACTTTGATCAGAGGAGGAGGATCCTCCATGGCACCTTATCAATATCTTTCGAAATTTGTTTTTATTATATAAAAAATTCATGAGAATAGAATTTTCTCATGGGGAACTGGTCAACCACATATGCACAATCATGTAGGTTGGATCGAATGTGGAATGTCAATTGATCATCCGATCTGCATTCATTGTTATGTTCCAATTGTAACCGTTATTATTAAATATTTAATAATATAATTGTTCTCATTCATAATTCATTATCATGAATTTCTTCATTTATTATGATTTAAATGATTTCAGTTTTTTATTCTTTATACATGAAACCGTTATTATTAAATTAAATATTTAATATCATTAAAGTTCTTAATTATGGTCCAAATGTTATAAATTTGAATTAATTATTGAACGTTATGATTTGATGATAATAAATGTTCTTGATGGGAGAACATCTATATATATGTTTATTTTTGGTCCAGTAACAATATATTTTCTCAATGAGAAAATTACATAATATATAAGAGTTTCAATATCATTACAAAGTAGAACTAAGTCCCATTTTCTCTACATGATCTTTGAATTTCAGAGGTGGCATGCCTTTAGTCAAAGGATTAGTAATCATCAATTTAGTGCTTATATGCTCAATGACCACTTTCTTTTCCTTTACACGTTCTCTTATGGCTAAATACTTAATGTCGATGTGTTTACTTCGACTTCCACTTTTATTGTTTTTAGCCATAAAGACAACAGCTGAATTGTCACAGAAAATTCTTAATGTCTTAGAAATAGAATCCATGATTCTAAGCCCAGAAATGAAACTCTTAATCCATACATCATGTGAAGTAGCCTCAAAACAGGAGACAAACTCAGCTTCCATGGTAGAAGTAGCAGTCAAGGTCTGCTTAGCGCTTCTCCAAGAAATAGCTCCATCGGCCATCATAAAAATATATCCTGATATTGATTTACGAGAATCAACACAACCGGCGAAGTCTGAATCTGAGTAACCAATCACATCCAGATTGTCTGTATGTCTATATATAAGCATGTAATCTTTGGTTCCTTGTAGATACCTCATCACTTTCTTTGTAGCCTTCTAGTGGTCCATACCTGGATTACTCTGATATCGACCTAGCATCCCCACAATAAATGCAATATCAGGTCTAGTACAGACCTGAGCATACATAAGGCTTCCTACGACAGAAGCATATGTGATGTTTTTCATTGATTCCCTTTCAAATGTGTTCTTTGGGCATTGGTTCAAATTGAACCTATCACCTTTCACAATGGGAGCAACACTCGGTGAACAATCCTTCATTCGAAATCTTTCTAAAAGTTTATCAATATAGGTTTCTTGTGATAGACCTAAAATGCCTCGAGGTCTATCTCTATGGATCTTAATGCCAATGACATAAGATGCTTCACCCATATCCTTCATGTCAAAATTTTTAGAAAGGAATTGTTTCACCTCATGCAGCAAACCCTTATCGTTGGTTGCAAGCAAAATATCATCTACGTATAAAACAAGGAAACATATTTTCCTCCCACTAACCTTCTGGTATATGCATTGATTCATGGGATTTTCAACAAATCTGAATGAAGAAATCACTTCATGAAATTTAAAATACCATTGGCGGGAGGCTTGTTTTAAGCCGTATATAGACTTCCTAAGCTTGCAAACCAAGTGTTCACCAACACTAGAGGAGAAACCATTATGTTGTTTCATATAAACCTCTTCCTCTAGATCTCCATTTAGAAATACCATTTTCACATCCATTTGTTGCAATTCAAGGTCAAAATGAGCAACTAATGCCAAAATTATATGTAGAGAATTTTTCTTAGATACAGGAGAAAACGTCTCCGTATAATCGATTCCCTCTTTTGGAGTAAATCCCTTTGCAACAAGTCTTGCCTTGTATCTTTCAATGTTGCATAACGAATCTTTCTTAGTTTTAAAGACCCATTTGCAACCAATAGCCTTTGCTTCATTAGGCAACTCTATAAGATCCCAAACTCCATTGCTCATCATGGAATTCATCCCTTCTTTCATGGCATCATGCCACAAATTTGACTCTTTGCAACTCATGGCTTGTGAAAATATTTCAGGATCATTTTTGGCTCCAATATTATAATCAAATTTTTGTAGATATACAACATAATCATTAGGAATTGTTGATCTTTTATTTCTAGTAGATCTTCTTAATGTTGTACCAATGGTTCCTTGAGGAACTTGTGGTTCAACTAGTTGTTTAGGAGCTTGTTGTAATTCCTAAACTGCTTGATCTATTAGAATACTATCAACAACTTGTGGAATTTCAATGATTGGTTGTTCAGCACTAGTTTGTACTTGAGGAGTGCTATGAACTATAACCAATCTGTCATTTGATGTGGAAGGTTGAGATTCTATATGATCATGTGCGGAAACTATGTTCTTGAAATGATCGCTCACACTAATCACATTATCCTCAAGAAATTTAGCGTTTCTTGATTCCACAATCCTAGTTGTGTGAGATGGACAATAGAATCTGTAACCTTTGGACTTTTCGGCATATCCAATGAAATACCCACTAACAGTCCTCGGGTCCAGTTTCTTCTCTTGTGGATTATATATCCTAACTTCAGACGAACATCCCCAAATGCGCATATGTTGCAAACTCGGTTTCCAATCTTTCCATAGTTCAAATGGTGTCTTTTGGACAGCCTTGGTTGGAACTCGGTTTAATATATACACAGTCGTCTTTAGTGCTTCAGTCCACAAGAACTTAGGAAGACTGGAGTTGCTAAGCATACTCCGCACCATGTCTAATAATGTTCGGTTTCTTCTTTCTACAACACCATTCTGGTCTGGGGAACCAAGCATAGTGTATTGGGCAATAATCCCATGTTCTTGAAGAAACCAGGTGCTTGTCCATTTTCAGTATATCTACCATAATATTCTCCACCCCTATCTGATCTCACAATTTTAATTTTCTTACCACATTGGTTCTCAACTTCAGCCTTAAAGACTTTGAAGGCATCCAATGCTTCATTTTTGTTATGAAGCAAATATATATACATATATTGTGAGTAATCATCTATAAAGGAGATGAAGTATTTCTGACCATG